CTTCCAAGATCCACTTCTCTGGGGCAACCTGTCACTTCGAGTAAACCTACCAGTTCACGGCAGCTCTCCTCTTAAGGAAGTTATGCTAGAAGTTCCTCCGTAGCTAGGCTGCAGCTGTTTCGATGAGTCTTTCATATCCCGTTAAAGTGGAGACGTTGGAGTCGCTGCTTCCTCGCCGGCCGCCATGTTGGATCTAGAAAGGCTCATTTACTAGTGAAGATAATCTTATTGTTTCTACCCACTCTGTACTTCAACGTCTAGTTCCTTTTCTTTGTTTTCTCCTCCATCCTCTCTTAGTTTTTGCCTTCTTACTTATTCACCTCCAAACCTATTTGTGGTTGCTGTACATATTGGTCAGCACTATTATTGTCTCCAAGTTTAAAGAGATTGGGGATATCTTAGAAGAGAGGGCATCCCAGAGTAAAAAAATATTAATATTAGGATTCAGTGTACATCCTTCACTTTTACATAGTAAATTACCAAATATTTTCCATAATATATTATTGTTAATAAGATGCATTACCAGTTAAAAAGTAGCACTGGGAAATACGTAATGAGATAGAACAAAAAATGTCTCATAAATTGTAAATTATATCCTGATTTTATGGGCATGGGTTATGGCTCAGTGGTAGAGCACTTGCCTAGCATGTGTGAGGTACTGGGTTCAATCCCTAGCACCACATAAAAAAACTAAAAAACAATAAAGTTATTGTGTCCATCTACAACTAAAAATATTTCTTAAAAAAATATATCCTGATTTTAGAAATGTTAAGATATGAGTAAATCTTAGAATATAAGAAATAAAGTGCAGGTATTATCTTAAAAATGTCATCTTCTTTTTTGAAAGATTGTTTGTTACTGTTTTAGAAGAAACTAAGGTGTTATCATAATGCAGTCTTTCTTCTTTCTCTTTCCAATTCTTCCTAGGGACAGCTGGCAGCTGCCTTCGTCGCTTTAGTACGATGCCTTTCATGTTCTGCAACATCAATAATGTTTGCAACTTTGCTTCAAGAAATGACTATTCTTACTGGCTTTCCACCCCAGAGCCCATGCCAATGAGCATGGAACCCCTGAAGGGCCAGAGCATCCAGCCATTCATTAGTCGGTGAGGCATTGATTTATCTTTTGACTTTTACCAACCCCCAGTTAATTTAGGTAGTCAGAAATTAGTCTACAGCTAATAATCTGATGATATTCCTCCCAGTTAAGTAAACAGTTGTGCTTTTTAATATTCAATTCAGTGGTTTTAGTTTGATCTGTATTTATTGGGGATCTGATTGCCACCAGGTCCTATGATACACATAGTGTAGTATACAAAAACTATAGTCTAATCATTAGATAAATATACATAAACCAGTCTGATATATGACAGGTTTGGGCTAAATGCTATGATGGATTAAATAGAAACATTAAAAATCATAGGGAAATGGATTTAATTTCAACTGGCAAAATCTAGTTAGCTGTATGGAAAAAAATGTATTTAAACTGATCTGTCCATGATGGATTGAAAGAATTTGAGGCATAGACCAATATAAAAGGAAAAGACATGCTAGGCAGAGAAAATGAAAATGAGTAATACATTACTGTAGCTAGAACATAGTATTTAACAATTGCATGTGGAGAAATTATTAGAAAGTTAGCTTGGGCTCAGATGGTAGGATACTTTCAGTACCAAATCATAGCTCGGAATTTATTTGGTATATTATGAGGAGACTACCAAATTTTTGAGCTACACCTCAGGGAAGATTTAAAAAGCCATCAGTTTATAACATGGATTCCAGAAGGGATAGTCATGAGGTAGAGACCAGTTAGATTGGATAGAATTGCCTTAGTCCTGATGTGAATGGATTAGATCTTCCAGTGGGGGACATTAGGATAGATAGGATTTGGCAGTTGATTAGCTGTGGGAAAGAGAAAGTGATAGCTAAGATTTGGCCCATGAGTAACGAAGAGGAGAATGGTACTTTAAATAGTGATTTCCTGGGGTTTTGGAGCCTTGGAACCCTATTTAACTCAATCTCCCAGGAATATTGGATATTGGCACTTTTATTCTGATCATGATCTAGGGTTCCAATAACTATAAAGGATGAATCACTGGAAAGTATAGTTCCTGTAACAGTGAATACAAAGATTAAACCTCATTTAGTCTTTGTAACAAACTCAAGATGCCCTTTTAAATATATTTGTCTAAATCCTTAGAGAATGTGTGTGTGCTTGCATATGTGAGCAATAGTTTTATCAGTCTTAACTTTGAGGAGTAAAAAGTTCTCTAAATGTAATATGTAGGCAAAATGGGCTAATTGGTCTAAGTCATACTTCAAGAGGTCCCCTATTAACAATCTGGTAGACTCATTTGTATTTAATGTGTTGCTGTTTTACTTGATTTTGAATTTTTCAGCCACATCTTCAAGTGCCTGAACACCTGCCCACCATTCTGGATATGTTGTAGTTATTTGGATATGGCCAAATACTATTGTTAATAAGTATGCTTTGGACTAAGAATAATGAGCAGAGGTTAAGCAACTGTCTATTTGTGTTTTATTCAGCTTACCAGACATTATTCTTAACCATAGTTGTAACGTCACTGAATGTCTACTCTCTCACTGGGCACTTTGATAGCAATTAATATATGAAATACACTTAATCAGACTCTTAGAACACTTATGGTATGGACTATAGGAGTATGAATACTAAAAATCAAGGCAGAATATAAAGTGAAATGTTATAGCAGTGGTTCCTAGTTTCCTGAAAAATGTTTACAGTTTCAGTTTATAATTTTTTTTGTATATTAGAAGATAGTGCTTATGCAAACCCAATTCTCAAAGTGCTGTTTCCTCTTTTTCTCCAGCCCTAAAGATACCTTAATGGGCCTCCCTATCAGGAAGGCTTCCAAAGAAGCAGTGTTGCTACTTACCATATACTCACTCTGTAAATTATGTTCTCTCTCCCTTTTCTTTACCAGATGTGCAGTATGTGAAGCTCCAGCTGTGGTAATTGCAGTTCATAGTCAGACCATCCAGATTCCACATTGTCCTCAAGGATGGGATTCTCTGTGGATTGGTTATTCCTTCATGATGGTATAAAACACTCTTCCTTGCTTTTGTCATTATAATTCACTGTCCATCCTATGTTTATTTCTCACCACTTTGAGGAATCCCTATAACTTGCACAGTAAGAAGCTTGAACCTCAAATAGCTTCTGTTGAAGCACTGTGTTCTCCCTTACACATTTTCTATAATATATTTTAATAATTTACCTATTTGCTTTTTTAGACCGCCCTTGATGTGGAGACTATTGTTACCTCTGGTCCTGTATTTGTGAAACTAAGCTAGTTACACCTCACTGGATATTCACTAAGATGTTATGGCACATAGTATTGTGGCACATTGTTTTTCTTGTATTTTTTAGCATACAAGTGCAGGAGCAGAGGGCTCAGGTCAAGCCCTGGCTTCCCCTGGATCCTGTTTGGAAGAGTTTCGTTCAGCTCCCTTCATCGAATGTCATGGGCGGGGAACGTGTAACTACTATGCCAACTCCTATAGCTTTTGGCTGGCAACTGTAGATGTATCAGACATGTTCAGGTAAGGTACTTATGGCTTTAATTCAGGTCCAAAGCTTCCTTCAGAGATGACAGGGAAGAAAGAGAAAATTCATGGGTGGTTTATCCCTAACAAATGTTGGGAATTTATTGGACTGTGTCCTTTTTTCTTGCTTGTTTTCCTCATCTCTCTGACTCAGTTCAAGAAAACAAACCTGACCAGTGTTGATGAGTATGGTTAGAGATGGCTCACTAGTCTTCTTTCAATAACAAAACAGAGACAAGGAACTGTTTGTGACCTGTTTAATAAAAAGGCAGCAGCTCATCTACTAGAATGAGATCAACCCAGGAATGGAAGCTGTGATCTGTGTTTTCTACTCCAATTCAATGATCTCCTTTCCCAGAATGTTTTTCATTTTTTGTTTGTTTATTTTTGGTACCAGATCTTCATCCCAAGGATGCTTAGCTATTGAGCCACATCCCGAGCCCATTTTATTTTTTATTTTGAGACAGGGTCTCACTAAGTTGCCTTGGTAAGTTGCTGAAGATTTTCTCAAACTTGGGATCCTCCTGCCTCAGCTTCCTGAGCTGCTGGGATTATAGGCATGTGCCTCCATGCCTGGCCCAAGAATGTTTTAAAGGCTCTCATCCAAGTGTTTGAATGCATAAGATCACACATAATACTTGCACCTCAGGATACTTCAATCTACTGAAATTTGTTTTTAGTATACCTTTATTGTTTTTATGTGATAGTTCTTTTGAGTTATCTTTACTTGATACTTTTCTTTTTTTATCATTTGTCAGAGGTTTTCTTTTCTATTGAAGCATTGTGATTATACAGAATGGAATTCATTATGCCATATTTGAACATGCACATAATATAACTTGATCACTGTCATTCTCCAGTACCTTCCTTTTCCCTCCCTGATACTATTTTTATGGTCCTTATCAAATACTGATCATCAGTTACCTGGATCTTTTTAATTCAAGGAACACCAGAAAATGTATCAGAGAAAGAGAAGGAGAAACAAATATACAAGATAACTGATTGGGAAAACAGTCACAAAAATGCCTTTGTCCAATAGTGGCTTTTGGTCCATGCGAGTCACTCATTAGGTCACATTGCTCAGAAGTAAACCATTGAATCAATCAGTTGAGCCACTTAACACAAAGAGAATGTTTGGGTGTGGATTTAAATCAATAATACAATTGAAATATCAAAATGTTAAAGACTTGAAGTCAGAAAAGGTAATTCTAATTGTCTTTTTTCTTACTTCTCAGTAAACCTCAGTCAGAAACACTGAAAGCAGGAGACTTGAGAACACGTATTAGCCGATGCCAAGTGTGCATGAAGAGGACATAACATTTTGAAGAATTTGTTGTGTTTTTAAATGTGACATATATATAAAATTCCCAGGATTCATTGTCTCACTCTCCCCAACTTTACCACTGCTATCACCAATGGTGCTACTATATATGACCAAGAGAGCATGCTGACTGGTAACCATGAAGATTCAGATGTACCTCAGCAATGTGTCAGAGCAAGGCCTCTCATTTTTTTATGAAAGAAATCAGGAAGTGAATTTACTTTATGGGTCCAGAATGATTTCTCCAAGGATTACAAGATGAAGATTATATATTTTGCCCAGTTAGTAAAACAGCACATTAAAAATTCAATTAAGAGAAGAATCACACTGAGTAAAATAAAAGACTGCAGTTTGGGAGAAGAATTATTTTTCATGGTGCTACTAATCCTACTGTATCCCAGGTTTTTAATATAAAAGTGTTAAGCTTATTTTGCTCTGTAAGTAAAGAATGTGTATATTATGTAAACAGCCTTTTTGCTCAAAATGTTGAGTCATTTAGATGTGACCTGGAATGAATCACTCTTAACAGAAAATGTAAGAATGCCTAGAATACAGACAGCAAGATTTTATATGTGAGAGAATTTATACTCTTACATCATTACTACTGAGAGTAAATTTATTTTGAGTTTTATCCCCTAAGTTCTTATTTGATTTTTTAAAAAATATAGGTCATTTTAGCCACTTTAATCAGAATTTTAAAGGTTCATATTACATATCAAATTATAATATCCAATGGAGTAGTTTCTTTTTTTGCTATATTCTCCAAGACAAATGCCCCCTGTTTTGATGCTTTTGACATCTTTTTTCTGTTCATCCCTTACTGGGCAAACTCCCCAACAATTTTGAGAAACAAATTTACCACACAAACTTAACTTTTTTTTTCCTGGTGCTTCTTATGTAAGAATTAGTCTCCTGTGGTCTCACATTTACAAGAACTGGGAAGACAATACTTATTTAGACTTCCCTCTTCAATTACAAAAAGCCAATCAATGTTTTTTACTCTTTTTATTTTAAACATTTTATTATAAATAGTCATAGGATACCTTATTGCCCTAGCTGTCATCTTCTCACTGAATGTTTTTTAACTCACCAATATCAATTTAATTAAAGATATATGTTGTAAGGATTGTTTGCTGTGTGTCTCTTCAGCCTATGTGTAAAAACCTGCTCATTTCCAGATAGGCTACATATCTGAACATCAACAATTATTCCTTTCTCAGGGAATCAGCTTCTGGAGACTTGGATCATTCTGATAGCTGATAGAAAACATAGTAATGTAAACTTTTACCAATGAAGAAATCAACCTATTAGAAGGTATTTTTGAGACAACAAATATCTTAACATTGTGTTGTTGAGAAAGGGGGCAGAACTAGTTTCTATTTGGAAGAATTATTAATAATGTTTAAAGCAGATTAGTGAGTTAATATTCCTAATGATTAAGGTTGAATCACATGTAGCTCTCTAAAATAGTTGAGGACTTGCTAAAAATAAAAGGCATTAAAAGCCTTTATAACAAAATTGTATGTTATAGCTAAAGTATAAAACAATCAAAATGATCCTAATATGAACCCTTGTAAAATCAAAACCTAGACTTCTGTGGTGGTAAAATTTGGGATCTCACCAATGGTAATGAATAATTTTGTTGATTTTGGCTTATCAGTTGTAAATTTTAGCATTTTTCCCATGTAGCCCCATGCATGAAAACAGTGATGGGTGATAGAAACTAACTGAAAATGCCATATTACATTCCATGGATTTTTCAACATGGTGTACATTCAAAGATTGCCCCTTGAGTTCGAGATGCAAATACTAATTCTACAGGTTTTGCTGTTTGTAGCATTCCCTCTTATATATAGTGGTTGAAGACTTGGCTCAAAAAGAACCTCCTGACTTTCAAATTGTTCTTAAATCCTTTAACATTCCCCAGCCCAGCTTGGTTGTTTGAAGTACATAGACCCAATCCCTTCCAAGACCTTAATATTATTGACCATTCTTTACCACTGATTATCCCAAAGTTACTCTTGAGCCAGCTGTTCTAGTAGTTGCCTTGGTAAGTTTTCAGTAATCTGCAATCAATGGTTTCCAACATGGACAAGCAGTAAATGAGATGCTCTGCTTAATCAGCTAGTTTGACTACCAAATAGGAATGTTAACCAAATGTGGTTTTACCCGTTAATAAATATATCTTGATTCCAATGTTATGCAGGAATAAAATCCTAATGTTCCACAGTTATATGGAAGAGTTGGTCTGTGGAAACCTCTACTCCTGGTATATACTTCTTATTTGGAAGATAACTCCTGGTAACACCATTTCCACTGTAGGAATTGTATATGTAATTCCTTTTACTTTCATACATTCCTTTTTCTTTTATAGCATGTTGGCTTGATCTGCAAGCTAATGCCATGTTGGTATTGTACTCACTTCCAAAGGAGGTTCTATGGTGGTTCTGTTGGACACTTTGTAATTTTATAGAGTTTTTTCCCATCCAATGGAATTTGAAAACCCCTTTCTAGTTCTTATGGTGCCTAGGAGGTTCTTTGCCTCAATTAGCATCATTAATTGAAAACTCACTGGTTATGCCAAGCCATCAAAAGTTTATTCAGAAGTTAACACAAGAGGGCACTATTGCCTATAAAAATAAATGAGCATTTGTAATGATTCATTGAGTTCATTGTTGATGGTGGAGGTGGGTTTTATCTAAAGCCTTACCTCCAGAGTCCTTGTTTTAAGTTTCATGAATTCTTTCAACTTCATAAAACTCAATGGCAAATATTCTAAAAGATGACCCAGATTCCCCATTTCTGTATCCAAAACTAAGGGGCAGTTTAGCTCTCAAAGGTTCTCCTCCTAAAAGCCTAATTAGGCCTTTTTTTTTTTTTTTTTTTTTTTTTGGTGGTGTTGGGGATTGAACTCAGTGCCTTGTACATGTGAGACAACACCCTACCGACTGAGCTATATTCCCAGCCCTAAGAGGCTATGGCTAGGAATTGGCTCTGGTAGCACTTCCAGGCCTTTCAATACAAAAGCAAAGAAATTGCTTTTGTTTGGCCAATACTTCTTTGGAAGAGAAGCTCTTTTCTCAGGCTGGGCTATGCAAACATCTTCATTCCTAGGCAGCTCCAAAATAAACTGAATAATATTTGTAAGTCATATGTCATTCCCATCTTAAGAGCAGTGGGGTTTTTTTAGTTGTGTTTTTTAAAAAATATATTCAGTGTGCTTTGAAGATTTGTATGGTGGAAATACTCACAAACTGAGACTTTGAAGGAATCAAATCCAGATAAGCCTGTCTCCCAAGTTCTACATTTACAAACATTTATTGAATGCTTATTAGCTGTAAGGTACCATGATAGATAGCAGTCCAAAGTCAATTAGAATGATGTGGTCACCTTAGTATATACTCTGGAGAAGAAATATGCTACTCTGCCTTTAACTCAGATGTCATATCTGTGTATCTTTCTCTGACAATAATCTGACCCTTACTTGGGCTTTAAAGAAGACTACCTTGAATGCCTCAGTAGCAATAAGTGTAAAACTTTATGTAGTTTTCATTAAAATGCCATTCTTTACATATTTCAGTTAAGCCTCAACACCTGATGCAGTCAAACAATACAAGGATTGGACTTCAATTTAGAAATGAAAAGTTGAGCCTTGGAATGTTCAATGACTTTCCCAAAACCACAGGACAAGTTACTAAATTCTTCTCTCAAAATCTACTCATCTTCTAGCCATGAAGATGTGTGTTTCAAGAAAATCAGATCCATTATGATAGTGATTCATAGGGTTCAAGTACAAGGCTTTCTGCCTTCTGAGAAGTGCTATACTGCGTGTTTTAGAAATCTTGGTTCCCAGGTAAGAATGAGTGCTTTTCATAGTACCACTGTGGCACCTGAGACCCTTTGGAATTAGCCCTTGGACACAGGAAACTTGTAATGAATTTGCTGTACCTTGGGGGTATTCCTATCTGTCTGGTGTAAGCCTCTGTAGCTAAAGAAAACCTGGTGGTGCATGGCTGAGGCAGGAGGATCTTAAGTTCAGGAAAAGTGAGGCACTAGCAACTTGATGAGACTCTTCTCTAAAGAAAATGTGAAATAGGGCTGGAGTGTGGCTCAGTGGTCAAGTGTCCCCAAGTTCAGTCCCTGGTACCCCCCACAAAAAAGAAAACCTTATGGGTCCAGCCTGATGCTCACCTCATGTGAGCTTCCTCAGGACTTTTGAATCAAGATGGGCTCTTGCAAATTGAATTGTCTGGTCTGCAAACTCTTCTACGGACTAATGATATAAATCTGAGACCATACATCCCAGTCCTTTTAATTTTTTGTTCCGAGACAGTTGCTTAGGGCCTCCCTAAATTGCTGAGGCTGGTCTCAAACTTGCAATCCTCTTGTCTCAGCTTCTCAATTCACTTAATTACAGATAGTACTCTGGGGAGGGGAAATTAAATCTTATTTACATTTAATATACATAAACACACAGAAACAACATGAGTTTGCTAACTATATCCACCATTAGTGATATTTCATATGTAGTTGTTTTTCTAATTTGGCTCCTTTCAGCAGAAATTTAGGATGTGGATCAGATGAATAAACAGCAAGCCAAACAGACCAAATAGTAAAGCATTATTTATCAGATTACAGAGGCAGGAAATGTTAAAGTTGAGAACCCTCTACGCCAAAATTAGGCCCTGCTTAGTTTAACAATACTCAGGAAATAAGCCTGGCTTTGAGGTTACCGGGTTTAAAGTGGGGATTAAAGGCTGGGCCTGTGGCTCAGCATGGAATGCTTACCTAGCATATGTGAGGCCCTGGGTAAGGCCCTGGGTTCGATCCTCAGCATCACATTTAAAAAAATAAATAAAGGTATTGTGTCCACCTACAACTAAAAAAAATTAAAGCTCGGTTTTAAGAGTGTTCTTAAATTGACTAGCACTTTCAGATGTAGCAGCTCTTGCCCACCTTAAGACCAGACACAGAATAGAGCTCCACCCCCCATGGAGTGTGAAGTGATAACAGCCTGAAGCCATTCTCACCATCACTACCTTCTACCCTAGGAAACCTTCTGTTTCTTTCATCCTCTAAGCAAGCAGAAGTGGCCTTGGGTGCATAAAAATGCGCTAAGGCTTTTCACCTTGAAGCTCTGTTTTTGCTTCATCTATTTTAATAATCTGTAGATAGATGTATAAATATTTGCATTTGCCATGTCCTTTTAGTGAAACTATTCATTTTTTCATTAGGATATTGGCAATATGGTAAAGAAAATGCTAATATTCTTCACACTGAAATTTACAAAGATGGCAATTTGTCCATATACTTTTTCAGTTTTTTTTTTTTGTGTGTGTGTGTATGTGTATGTCAACATGATACTTGGTTTTCCTTCCCATTATTTTACTGTAAATCTTTTTTTTTCTTTTCTTTTTTGGTACTGGGAAATGAACACAGAGGCATTTTAACACTGAGCTACGTCCCCAGTCCTTTTAATTTTTTTTTATTCTGAGACAGTTGCTTAGGCCCTCCCTAAATTGCTGAGGCTGGCCTCAAACTTGCAATCATCCTGCCTC